AAGTCTAAAGGCAAAAGGAACTGCACGTAACAGTCTAGTGGATAAAATTGTTTCGCACTGGGGTGGTGTTATTAGTTGCTGTCCAGTCAATTCCGGCTCATGGGTACAGGTTAACAATTCTGACTCTGCTATACAAGTATACTAGAACGGAACAATTAAGTAAATGGATGGCAGGTGATAGGAGCCAGGCTTCTCACTGCTGGCATGAGAGTTTACAGATAAACAGAGAGGGGAAACTAAAATGATCCATGTGGTAATGGATTTGAGTTGGAGATATCAGTATGAATTAATGCTTGGCTTAATATAGATACAGATATTATATACAGAAAATATACGTATATATTATATATATATATGTACACACACACACAGTCAATATAAACACAATTTGTTAGCTCTGTCAGCTGAGAGGCTTAAAAGAAATGACACCCCAGAAGCAACGCACACACCTAGTGCCTAGATCTTGGTTTCTAATACCATTCTCCAATAAAAGTCATCAGGGCTCCTTGGAGAAATCCCTGATGGCAGGACAGGGGCCAGACATATACAAGGTGAGCCTGGAGCATCTCAGCCAGAAAGGAAAGAAGTGTTCAGAAAACAAAAACACACGATAGAGATATGTCAAAGGAACGCGGGGGCCAAATGAATGAGCTCCCAATGGCGAAAACTGACACAATCTGAGCAACAAAAAAGTGGTATCTATGAATCCACACTGATATGAAGGCATGAATAAATTAAGAAATGAGGTGAGAAGAGACAGTATCTCCCACGCAGGAGAATTTCAAATAATTTATGTAGATACCCCGCCCTTAAGGTCAAAGAGCATAATTCTCCACTCCTTACCTGTGGGCTGCACAGACCGACTTCCTTCCAAAGTACACAATATGGAAAGGGGAAAAAGTAACTTCACAGTGGAAAAAGCTGACAAACACCACCTCAGCCACTGACGTGATGAAAATGGCACTTTACCTTTGTGGTCTTCCTCCCCAAAACCAATAACCCCAATCTGATCATGAGAAAGACTTCAGACGAACTCCAATACTGGGGCGTTGTACAAAATACCTGACCAGTACTTCTCAAAACTGTCAAGATCATCAAAACTAAGGCGAGTCTGAGAAACTGCCACAGCCAAGAGGCGCCTAGAGAGACGTGACAATTACATGTAATAGGGCACCCGGGATGGCATTCTGGAGCAGAGAAAGGACACTCAGTGAAAACTAGGGAAATATGAATAAAGTATGGACTTTAGTTAATAATAATATATCAATATTGGTTCATTAATTGTAACAAATGTGCCACACTCATGTAAGATGTTAATACTAGCGGAAACTGGGTATAGGGTATAGAGGAACTCTGTACTATCTTCTCATTTTTTCTGTAAATCTAAAAGTGTTCTAAAAAAAAGTCAATTTAAAAAAAATTTCCCCCATCTCTTAACTATTAATTACAGGGCTAAAAGGGAATACACAGTATCTCTAATTTCTCTACCTCTGCTACTGCTAATTCAAACACTGGTGAGCCCCTATTCTGTTTCAGAATTGGGACCTTGGTCCCTATACAATGTAAGTTGTACATAAGGAAAAAGAGATCTTAATCAGAGAATAACTATGGATTAAGAACAAAAAAGAACTTCAATCAAGTGCTAAATTCCATCAGAAATGTAAAGTTCACACTAGTCTTTACACGAACTCAGTGATTTCAAAACAGCTCGCAGATATAAGGAGATGGTATCTGAAGTGAGCACATCTACCAGACAACAAAGAGAGCAAAATGCCACTTAAGGGCACTTGCAGCCCTCTTTATCATCTCTGCCCCCTTTTTCCCAATAGGAGAACCAGCAGATTTGAAGTAAAGAGTGCATGAAATAGAAACCAAACTACCAAAGAAAGCCAGTCCTCTTTAACTCTCGTAGTTCATACCTGTATCAATACTGCCCCCAATCTGATCAGTCCCAAGTCCTTCTCATGGCATCTGAGAAAACATGCAGATCTGGTTGCTACAGATTTTACTTTAATTTGAACTTGGTCCTTTAACTCGCCTGCTTACCAAAGGAAAGGAAAACTAGTTGTAGGAGCAATTTAGAACGTGAATAACGCCAAATATAGGAGACTTTGGCCTGTACAACTTGAGCTTACAGAGACCCAGTCCTTCCAAAAGAACAAGGCGGTGGGTACTGCATGGTTTAAAGTCAGGAAAAGTAAAATGTGGCAGGGTTGTATTCTTTCACCATACTTATTCAATCTGTATGCTGAGCAAATAATCTGAGAAGCTGGACTGTATGAAGAACTCAGCATCAGGACTGGAGGAAGACACATTAACAACCTGCATTATACAGATGATACAACCTCGCCTGCTGAAAGTGAAGAGGGCTTGAAGTACTTACTGATGAACATCAAAGACTACAGCCTTCAGTAGGGATTACACCTCACCATAAAGAAAACAAAAATCCTCACAACTGGACCACTAAGCGACATCATGATAAATGAAGAAAAGATTATAGTTGTCAAAGATTTCATTTTACCTGGATCCACAAGCAACACTCATGGAAGCAGCAGTCAAGAAATCAGATATGGATGGCAGAGCCAACATGGCACCCTAGACAGACCCATCATGCCATCCTTCTGCAGCAAAGACCTGAGAAACTAAATAAAACAGATACAAACATCAATCCTAGAACCCTAAGTCTCAAATGAAGGGATAAAGAACTAGATCAAGCACCGAACAAAAGAAGAAACTGAATGAAAACAGAGAATGAGGACAGATATGGAGTGGCAGTCCCCTGCCAACTAACATGGCACAGCGTCGCCATCTTGGGGCACAGGCAGCAATGACCCCGGGGCAGGGAGCACAGGAAGGCAACGTCACGGAGCTCCCAACAGGAGACAGAGCACCCAGTAACCAGAGAAACACGCTTTCTTACCCCTCACCCTTCCGCCACGTACACCACCTGCACTCCTGACCGGCCACGCGGAACCACCGCGAATAGAGAGCTACCAGCCCGCCGCCAGCCCGGGTCTGCCCCGCCCCCACCTGCCAGCTCCTGCCACATCATTTTTTTAAATTATTTTCCCTTTCTTTCTTTTCTTTCTCCCTCCCACCTAGCCACGTATCTCACCTCCACCCCTTCCCCCCAGGCCACCCCGTACCACCTTGGCTACACAAGGCTAGAGAGACAGCACCCCACCCCCGCCCACCAGCTCCTGCGACGCCATTTTTTTCCCCCTTTCTTCCTTTTCGTTCTCCCTCCCACGTAGCCCCGTACGCCACATTACAAACTGAAAATTCAAACTTTCCTCCTAATAATGTTTTTGTTGGTTTTGGCTCCCCCAATATGTCTTTAAATCCTTTCTGGAACTCGAAGGGGGCATAAATAAATAAAGTAAGGTTACTGCAGGAACTCCGCAACATCGGTGTTCAGAATGAGCCCCTGTAGAGTGTTACTGATCTTTCATTTTACAGATAGGTAAGGAGCTCTCACTCTGTGAAACCAAACACATTCAATTCTGTCAGCCAGTAAGACGGCAAATTTTCCTCAAGGGACAGCAACTCTGACTCAGAGGGTCTTGCTTCCAGGATTGTGCTTCCCATAACGTCACACATGGTGAAACCCACAACTTCCCCTTCTCGTCTGGAGACTCAACCACAACAGAGCTGGCCTCAGTGCCAGTCCTGCCCAGGGGGCTTCAAGGGCAGAGAGTGAGCCTGGGGACACCAAGATGCCCAGTGCACGTCCTGAGCCTCTGTGGAGCTCTTGCAGTAGAGAATAATGACAGTGCCTCACAAAACATGAGACAGTTATCGCGTACCATTAAATACAAACTAGAACAGTTCTCCCAGCACTTCGGATGTCGTCCTTACCTCTTGAGGTGTTATGCTTGTACAGAAGGTGCTCTAAGTGGAAATGGTAGCAGGCCTAATCAATGGATTTAATTTCTGACCAAAGGTTCACTGCCCAACTTTACAGAGGAGTGAAAATACCACAATTAATCAACTATTTTTATTTTACCATAAACAAATGTTATATAGTTTACATCATGTGACATATATAAACCAAACAGGAGGATCCAGTGACAAATCCTGTCCATTTCATTTAATCACTCAGAAGTGGGGTTATACAGAGTGAAGGGCGTTGGTGGCACACAGAAGGAGCACAGAGGCCGCTTTGAGCTATGTGTGAAGGCAGGGGCTAGAAACGGAAACAGAGGAAGGATGAGGCCTCGTCCACTCTGAGCACGTCCACGTACAAACAATGACTGGCCTACGTGGTGAAGTGCCATGTGTCATGGGGGCACCAACAGGGTGCCCCCTAGCCTTGGTGGAAGGTAGGGGCTGCCTGTCTGGTATGTATTCATTATGCACAGACACACATACCTCCAGGTCCTCAAATTGCAGATTAGTTTGCCACCCTGCTCAGATCTGAACTATAATCAAAAATCAAACTTGAACAGATCCACTATCATATTCAACTCTCACTATAATTTTAGTTTGGCTTTTGACAAACAGAGTCATGTACAAAGCATAAACCAAGGGATGGTAAAAGCGGTATTAGATACTTTAGGATTTGAAGTAAGGGTGCCTGAGATGAAATCTAGATCATCATGTTTCCAGGACAGAAGAAAGTATGGCCACATCAGCCGGCAGACCTTCCCACGGTCATGGACTGATTTACTTCCAGAGACACGTTCCTTCAATACTTAGCAAGCAATTGCCCACAACAACTGGCTCAAGGAAGCTTCCTTTCTGGAAAGAAACTTCTCAATGTCCATTAGTCTCGGATGAGTTTGTGTATTAGAAAAAAAAGAATACCCAAATTCGTTGCACGATCACTCCTAGACGCTGTCCATCAAAGTTTGAGATCTTCAGAGGCGTGAAACTCTTAGAATGTGGAGAAAATCCCAGCAGATCTGAGGCCACCAATCTGTTCTCCTTCTTCCCCAGCTACTACACCATTCCAGATCATTCACCCTATCAGCTAAACCAGTAAGAGGAAGTACAAATACCTGATCGAGCAATGCCACTGTCTCTGTCTTCATTTTGTCCTCTGCTTGGCATGTCAACTGGTGTGCTGTGTGCTACAAGGCAGAACAAAACCATATTATTGGGCTCTTCAAAGATAAGAAAGTTTTAAAAACACCTGCAGTAATTTTTATATTTCAAAGTAGACTAATAAAAAACCAAACCCATTGCCATCTAGTTGATTCCGACTCACAGTGACCCTATAGGACAGAGTAGAACTGCCCCCATAGGGTTTCCAAGCTGTAATCTTTATGGAAGCAGACTGCCACATCTTTCTCCCGAGGAGCCGCTGGTGGGTTCGAACCACCAACCTTTTGGTTAGCAGCCAAGTGCTTTAACCACTGCACCACCAGAGCTCCTTCAAATTAGGCAAGTGCTTATGATTGGTCTGTTTGTATAGAGATTAACTAGAAAGCAAAATCAGATACATAAGAAGGTGATGATGGAAGCAAGAAGGAAATAAAGATAAGTAACCATCTGTCCTTAACTGGTCTACTGGAGCATATACACCTTTCAGTGATGTTTACAAACCCTAAAAAACTGGATTGCAAACGATTAATGCAGCTGATACAACGAACGTTCTCTGGCAGATATATTTAGCCATTTTTCTCGGTATTAGTAGTATTTAAATAGCACTACATTTTCAAAACGCTTCATATGCAGTTTCAGTAGTAAGTACAGGCAACTTAGGGAAGAGAAATACTTGAAAACCATTTCATAAATTTAAAAAATGTTTCTCTGTCTATAACCCACTCTCTTGGCAGATAGAAAACACTTACATTCATTTTCAAGTATTTCTTCCTCCACTTCTTTGCCATATAAACCCATACACAGTATTACTGTAGTTACTTAGCAAAACTCATGTACTGGCATGAATTTCAGAAAACACCCTATAGTACTAAAGCCTTCTAGGACTGCTTCACATTGACCTACACTACGTACTGTGGGGCTTGAAGGTGGATGAGATGTTCCTCCTGTAAGGTTTACAAGGTACAAGAAACCCAGGGCCCTGCCTGATTATTATACTTGCCAGCTATCCTGAAGCATGTTTGCTTTCAGTTTTCGAACACATAACCATGTGATTCTCACGCTCAGGAGGTGGGAGGGTGTTAAGTTTCATAAGCGTGTCAGTTAACTATGGTGCTTGGCATATTTCAGACTATAAGAAACAACAGAGTGAAGAACACCATTTGCCATAAAAACAACCATTTACGTGTTAGTAACACAAGTTCCCCACACCTGTTAACCATGCCGAGACTACCACAGACATTTCAACTGCCACAGCGAGCAAGGCCAGTGAGAGCTCAGAATTTACCTACCCAGAGACAGGTGGATGATTAGACCTGCAAAGAACCTGAAAGCTGCATTGAAGCGACTTAAATGCTAGAGAGAGAAACAAAGGAGTCTTCCATGCTCTCATTAGAGTGACTTTTGAGGAAACTCTGTGCAGTAAGGATACAGGTGAATACATGGAGAAAAGACAAGACGGCAAAGGGAAACAGCTCAGAGCAGCAGAAGAGACCCAGGAAAATCAGAAAATATAATCCTCTTAGAAACCCTAAGGGCTCACTTCAGATCAAAATCAGCTTACGCTGGGGCATTAGCAAAGCCATGTACAATGGAGGTTCACTGCTGAATTTTCAAAATACCATGAAGTTGGCTGCATTTGAAACTAATATCTCTTATCAAAAGAGCCCCTTGGACTTCTAGAGAGGCACCAAATTGGATTTTTTTTTCCCTAAGAACCTGCACCGGATTTATTAGTAAGTGTGTGGGTCACACTGTACTCAGCATTCCACACAAACCTGCAAAGAAAGAAGCACTCCGGGTGAGCCGGAGAGGTCCTCCTTCAGCCACCCCCTGCAGCAATTTGCTGCTGCAGGCCAGCAGCAGACCTAGAGACAGAAACACAGAGGAGGGCAAACGGGATACACACAAAAAATAAACACAGATTAAGGTAATGCAAAAAAACAAAACAACACAACAAACTCAAATAAAGCAAAACACACACCCAGAAAGAAAGGATCCGTTTGTGTGTCTGACTTTACCTAGGTTACTTCCAGTACGACAAGGACCCAAGCTATTCTGATTTGTGTTCAGTTTTCCCAAATTAGGATCTTGGTTGATGTATTCAAAGCTGTCTTGCAAGCTAAAGCCAGAGAAGGGGAGGAAGGGAGAAAGAGGAGAAAAATGTCAAGAGATGAATAAAAGGATTTTTTCATAGACTTTCAAATACAGACAACAACTGATCAGTCACTCAAGATTTTTCTTTATAAACAAAATTTCACAGCTACCAAAGGGAATTAAACTGGTAACTTTAGGGAAATTTCTTAGAGGAAAATCAAAGCTTCTTGGAGGTGGCCAAACCTATAAAACGAAACAATTGTATTCCTAACAACTTCATGTTATATAATGGAACGTCATACTCTAAATTCTGATTCTGTGATTGATACCAAGCATGCTGCTCTTCATTTTGAGGGTTTTACAACTCTTAATCAACATACATCGGCAATTCAGCCACTTTTATTTTAGGCTGAAATAAATAAGAGAAATTATGATTCTTATAATTTTGATTTCACAACTTCTAAAAAGTTAGATTTTACTCAACAAAACAAAGGTGAGGGTAGAAGATTTTAATAATTTATTTTATTTATTAACAAGGAAAATATCAAGACTTCGAAGATAATACAGCTTAACAAGGCCAAAATAATTTCTGGTTAAATCTGAGCACGGTATTTTATTATAGAGAGTTGTAATCTCAAAGGTCTGAAAAGGAACATATTATAAGAAATAAACATCAGTTCCAATATTGGCTTAAGTCATGACGGTCCAATATTAAATGTTCAAATAAGGAGATTCACTATTTTGCTGTCAGAGTAAGCAAAGACTTACTCGGTGGTGCCCGAGTCTACAGGGGAATATATTTTTAATTTCCCAGGATTATTAAAAAAAATAGCAGATAAACTCCATTTGTCTCCTAAGAGTGTCCCTTAATTTATAACAAGCCTTTCTTTCAAATGTATCTTGGTTGATATATTCAAAGACAACAAATACTTTGTTTAATCAAAAAAGAAGTACCTGGAAGTTCAAAATATTTGGAGAAATGTGCCAGAATGTAAGAATCTCAATTAGACATTTTAGTATTGTTAGTCTACATAAACCAAAACCAAACCAAACTCACTGCCATCGACTCGATTCCAACTCACAGCAACCCCACAGGGTTTCCAAGGCTGTAAACCTCTGTGGAAGCAGACTGCCACATCTTTCTCCCACGGAGCCGTCGACTTTTCAGTTAGCCGTCAATCACTTTAACCACTTTGCCACCAGGGCTCCCATAAAAAACACCAAACCCATGGCTGAGTTGATTCCAACTCACAGTGGCCCTATAAGACAGAGTAGAACTGCCCCATAGGATTTCCAAGGAGTGCCTGGGAGATTCAAACTGCCGATCTTTTGGTTAGCAACCGAGCTCTTAACCACTATGCCACCAAGGGTTTCCAGGGCTTCCACCGATGTGCAAAATTAGAGGGGGGGACATCTGAGGAGTGAACATCAAAATATCTCATGACTCAAGCACCAACCACTCACAATGGCTACCACGACCCCGCAGAAAAGACGACGAGCATAGTCAGCCCAGACTGATATACGGTGCCTGTCAGCCTGGAAAGGCTTCCTGTGCACTTGACTCCTTCCGAAATAAGTAAGTAAACAAGGAGGATTAATTCAAAAATAAAAAGAAGGTAAAATAATATTGGGAAATACCATGAACTCACTAACACAGCCCCACCTTCCGTCTTTCAGTTTTCTTCTTCCAGGGATGGAAAACCTGGTGACTGCTGGTAGGAACACAGTAGGTAAGAGATGGAGGCACAAAATGTAGGTAATAAAGACAACCAGCCACTTGTCTTTAAAGTCACCTGATAAAGTCCAAGGCCTTTTTATACTCACTCATAGGGCAATGGGAGGAGGCTTGGTGGTGGGATGGTTAAGTGTTCAGCTGCTAACCAAAAGGTCAGTGGTTTGATTCCACCAGCGGCTCACGGGAGAAAAGACCCGGCAATCTGCTCCCATAAAGATTACAGCCTAGGAAACCCTATGGGGCAGTTCCACCCTGTCCTACAGGGTCACTATGAATCCTAATCGACTCAACTCACAACAACAACACAGGTCAATGGAGCCCCTAAGTAGCACAAATGATTAACTCACTGGACTGTTAAACAAAAGGCTGGAGGTTCAAGTCCACCCTGAGGTGCCTCAGAAGAAAGGCCTGGCAATCTATCTCCAAAAAAATCAGCCACTGAAAACCCTACGGAGAACAGTTCTACTCTGACATACATGGGGTCATCATGAATCAACTCAAAAATAACTGGCTATAGAACAAAGACCACTTTTAAAACACCTCTGTTAATGTGGATGCATCCTGTTTCTCATTTCTAAAAGCCTCACGGCCCTCAAAGAATTATTCTTTCCAGCAATAGCCACTTAAAAAAATGGGGGAGAGAAGGGGCAAATTCCCACACTTACTTATTTGTACTCCCACAGAAGCTGCCCATTCTAGCAGAGAAGACTTTACTAATCATCAGTTGTGGAGGAGAACTGGAAAAAAGAAGAGGGAGAGGAGGCATTTTTTAATTGCGGAGTCAATATCACCACTCACGTCTCACAATTAGCAGAAAAAGAAGCCCAAACTCACCGTATATAGTGTATCTTTAAGGTGGGGCCTTTGTAACTCATTGCCACTGAGCCAAACATCATTTCCCCCAGCATGTTGACATCAGAAGCTGGTCTTGTGTACTACCGCACGCAAAAGAAAGAGACCAAAAGATCCAGGTCAGCACACGGCGCAACCCGATGTACAACGTAACAAAAATTACTGTTTACTAGTCTTTGGATCTCGCTTTAGTTTAGTGGGCAATTACAACTATTTGTCAAAGCAGCTACTGATCATTTTACATTCTTAATCTATAATGGTGACTGCCTATCTTTTTCCCCCCAAATATTACTAATGCTCACGATTTCTTCTTTATACACAGTATCTTCACACAGGATCCAAATGCTTTATTGGAATTCATTCTTAATCTTGTTAGGAGAGACAAGGATTATAACTATCCCCACTAACAAACTCTAAATAGAAAGATTAAAACAGGAAATAAACAAGGTAATACTAATAAACTCTTCCGTTGGTGCTAAGAACATATACCAAAAGGAAGATTAAAACAAAAACAAAACAAAACAAAACCCATTGCTGCTGAGTCGATTCCAACTCACAGCGACCCTACAGACAGAGTAGAACTGCCCCATAGGGTTTCCAAGGAGCGGCTGGTGGGTTCAAACTGCCAACCTTTTGGTTAGCA